CTGGATCCGGCCCGCGGGCCGTAGTTTGCCCATGGCTGGGTTATACTGTTGGGATGAAGCCAGATTTCACCTAACTCTGGAAATGAGGCAGAGGGCCGACTATAGACTTTATTTAGGCCTGTGTTTCTCAGACCTCAGACTATTCATAAATTTGGATTATCTTTCTGGAAACTCAGTGCTACACAGATATTTGGGGCAAATCATTCTTTAACTCATGTACTAAAACAAACATGGATTTATTTTGGGGTAGCATACAAACTTGGCATGACTTTAACAATAAAATATGCATACTTAAAAAGATTTTGGCTTGTAGCAGATCACTTTGATGACACCTTTACACCCAAGGAGCAAATGGTATGCATGGATCAGACACGTTGAGAATTTCCTTAGGCAATAGGAAGTGAAACCTCATTTTCTGAAGTTGTGCCCTGTGTTTGGAGCATCTTTTCTGCCCCTCTGAGCATTTTCTTGTCCCACTCTGAGGGCTGATCTGACATCCTGGACTAGTGGAGGGAAGTGCTTATAGGTCACATTATATTGATCCATGCCAAGGGAGGCATTGTTGCTTAATATCAAGTGGTAGGGCATTTGTGTAGTCCTTTGTAGATTGATTTCACATTATTGTTTCAATAGCCTTGGAAATAACAATTATTACTTTGATTTATAAATGAGAAAATGATGGGTGGCAGGTTTTGTAAACACGTTTGTTGAGTCCTTTCCAGAAGACTTCTATGTTAGGACACGGGTCCTGGCAGGCAGGGCGTCCAACAGTTGTATTTGTGTGTGTAGACCTTTATTCTGCAGGTGCTTCATGCCCCATGTGATCTGCCAGCCTTAAGAAGGCATGCTGACCTTCTTAATTCAGTTCTCCAACTTTTGTCAATTGGTGCATTGCTGGGCAATATTTAATGACAGCTTTCTGCTCCATATTTCTTTCTTTCTTTTTTATTTTTTGTTAATTTTCACCTGAGGATATTTTTTCTATTGAATTTTAGAGAGAGTGGAAGGGAGGAAGATGGGGGGAGGGGAGAAAGAGAGAGAGAAAGAGAGGGAAACATTGATGTGAGAGAGCCACATGAACTGGTTGCCTCCCACACTGACCAGGGGGCGGGGGGTGGGGAACAAACTTGCAACCCAGGTATGTGCCCTTGACCAGGAATCGAACCCATGACCTTTGGTTGTGCAGGCCAATGCTCTACCACAGAGCTATACTAGCCAGTGCCAGCTCCAAATTTCTTATAATTAATTTAACTGAAGCCCAACAGAATTTAGGTGGGCAATTTAGATTTGCAAATCCCTGTTTGTCTGTCTCTGTCTTTTTCTTTTCAGGTTATTTACAACTCTGGCTCACTAATAAATATAACCATGATTTGAATCAAGAGAATCACCTGCTTTTATTTAGCAGGGTATCCTATATAATAAAAGCCTAATATGCAAATCAACTTACGGCAGAACGACTGGTCACTATGATGTGCACTGACCACTAGGGGACAGATGCTCAATGCAGGAGCTGCCCCCTGATGGTCAGTGCACTCCCACAGGGGGAGCACTGCTCAGCCAGAAGCCAGGCTCATGGCTGGTGAGTGCAGTGGCAGGAGCCTCTCCTGCCTCCACTGTAGGCAGGCGGTAAGGAGCAAGGGGTCCTGGACTGTAAGAGACCTGGACTGCAAGAGGGATGTCTGACTGCTGGCTTAGGGGATCGGGTCTAAGCTGGCAGGAGGACATTCCCCAAGGGGTACTGGTCTGCAAGAGGGCGCAGGCTGTCTAAGTGACTCCCCCTTCCCCCCAGTGCATGAATCTCGTGCACAGGCCTCTAGTTTTAAACAATAAAATATTCCTACTGTGTTCAAACCTCATGAAGCCCTGTCTATTTTAATGCCAACTTACTGAAGACTCATTAGTAATTAATGAAATCATGGAGAATGGTTCATGGTGACTGACACCTTCCTGGCAACCACAATCCCCTCTTGTACTTAGTCGAAATGTCACTGGCTCCACAGGTTTGCTTTGAGGGGTGGAGTAGGTGGGTGGAGGGGGAGGGAATTAGATTACATAAAGTTTCACAACAGCCATCAGCTAGAACAGAAAGCTGTGAGTATGTTCCTCCAACTCTCTCTACTTGGGATAAGTTTTCTCAAAAATCTTCCATTCATCTGGTGCTGCTTTCAAGAAATCCTGCTAATATCATCTTTTCACTAAAATGGTGTTGTGTGGCTCAACTCAGCAAAGATGTAGTGTTGAAAGTCACCCTCTTTCCCCCCTCCTGTTTTCACACATTTCCTTCTTTCTTGGCATTGACTAGATTTATTCTCCTCCTTCTCCCTTTTAGGAACAGAATTTGGCATAAATAAATGATAACTGAGAAAATGGTATAAACAGAAGAGTAAACACAGGGTTTCTCCAGCCTCCCACTGCAGGTCGGGGTAATTTGTTGTAGCTAGTGGTTATGTCCAAGGAAGATGGCAGTTCCAGCGGCTGCTATTTAATTTATGTTTTAATAACCCCCCTATTCTTTCCTTAATTACTCAAAATAAAACATGACCTCCCCCCCCCCCCCGCCCCGCCAAAGCCTTTCAGACTGCTAATTCACTAAAACTGTTGTTAAATCAAAATGGACTACTTTGCCAGGATACTGCCCACAAAATGGAATTTGGTATATTTCATACTCCAATGAATTTAAATTGTATGGAGCTGATCTTTAATACAAGTGCAAGTACCAGCGGAATCTACATACTTAGTCTGCGTTCTCAAACTCTCAGAATTAAGCAGGTGATCTATGGGACACAAAGGGACCATCCTTCTCTCAAAGAGAATATTTCATGACCAGGCAGCTTAAAAGGCATGGGCATAAACAGCTGTTTGCAGCTCCCTTTCTCTCTCATCTTCAGAAGGTAAAACGTATATATAAGAACATGCTGTTTTAGACAAAGCATTTTAGAAAATCACTTGAAATGTTTTCCTTTTTCCCTTGACAACTGAACCTTTGATAGGTGCTCAAGAGCATCCTTACAATTCAGTTTATTTTTCTTCTACTTTTTTTTTTCCAGGGGGGACAAAGGCCCAAGTGTGAAGGCTGCTCTCCCTTGAAGTGGGAGAAATCTCATTGCTCAAATCACAAAAATCATGGTTTTTACACCATGACAAACATGACTGGCATAGTGTCAATTTTAAATGAACAGATAAGTTTAATTTTACCATTATACCTTTGTAAGAACTTCACCTAGACAGATGAATTAAATGGAAACACGTATTTTGCTACATCCCTTATTTCTAGTTTCTTGACTCCTAATATATGGTCACTTTCCATTTAGCCATGTTGATATTTGGAAAGCCATTATGGAAATGACTTGATTTTTTTGGAGTATATGCCTCACATATGAAATGTGCATCCACATGTCTTACTTCCTTCAGGTGCTTGAGAGAGAAGGGCGGCATTGAGGGAAGTGCTGCTTCATTTTCCAGAGAGAACAAGGCACCAGGAGCTTGGAGGGACTTCTGAGCTGCAGCAGTCACAGTGCTTAGTCCTGAATTTTTACCTCCTGGGCTCCAGGGTGGGCCTCTCCCTCCGCTGCCCAGCTGGCTGAGTATCACAGCAGAATGATAATTCCATGAGGCTCAGAGCCCTGCACACTTCATGCTTTGAATTGGGTTTTAGTAGTCAGCCCACTATTTGAGTGCTAGGTGCTGTTGGTGGAGTGATAAAGATATACAGAGCTTGCAATGCATTTAGGGAAGCCAGGTGTGTATGCAGGAAGCAGAAGCTCACTGGACAAGGCAGAGAGAACATGCCACTTGCTTACAAGGATGCAGACAGTGGTAAGAATTGCAGTTGTTCAAGGCCAGCGGGGAGGACCTGGGACTACAGCCCGGACTCAAGGATGTGCAGATCCCAGTAGGAGAAGGGTGAACAGTTAGTTTAATCTGACTTATCTGAAACTTGATATTTCAAGACTCCTTTGAAAGTCTCCTTTTAAATTCTTTTCTTTTTAATTAAAAAAGTTACCAAATAATGTCCCTCCTATATGGTGAAAAAATACATTAAGTGGGGGGGGGGGGATGTAAAAGCTTGTGTTTTATGATTCCTTGTTGAACAAGGAAAAGCATTTAGGCCGTCCCCACCCCGTGATGGGCTCCGTCCCCTCTGCTCCCTAGCTTTGGGTGCTGAAGCCTGGTCAGAGTAAGTGGAAATGAGGGTCCTAGCGGAATTATTCGCTCTGGAATGCCGTCTCTCTGGGCCTCCCAGTGAGAACAGTGAGGAATTCCAGACTTTCACTGGCTTTAAGGACAGGCTGAGACTGAACAGGCTGCACAGGGAAACTGTTTTCTCAGGCTGGGGGCTTAGGTGAAGCATGAGAGAAAGAACTGAAGGATGAACTCCAGGGACGGTGCATAATATGTCCCCCCAAATAATCTAAAATGACCTTCACATGCCCTCCAGGGTGGCCCCAGGAACAATACCCCTATATTCCTTCAGCTTTTACCTTGCTTTGCTTCCCAAAGCGTGCCTGACACAGGCGAAACCCCGCGTTGTACTGTATTTCTCTCTGCTCTCAGGAACACGCACTATTTGGGGGGAAAAATAAGGCCAGAAAATTGTTGCTATGGACTCTGTTTTGTGGAAGTTAAAATGCTAGAGCAAAAATCTGATTGCTTGATAGCTCCATCTCTCTCTCCCTCACTCCATCCCCTCCTCTCTCCACCCCTTCCCGAGCTCTCCCTCTCCCCCACCCCCCACTTTTCTACTCTGCCCTCCTCCGTCCCCTGGGCTCCCAGTCCTGCCTCCGCACCGGGCCGGAGGAAAGCCTTACAGGTTGTCAATGAAACATAGAATTATTCCCTTTGATGGCTTAGATAATAGTAGGAGCCAAAGCCATGAGTGAGGTCGGTGGAAACCAATGCAGTCCTGCCCGGGACCGGAGAGCCAATCGCAAGAGCAGGGGGCGGGGCGTCGGCGCCAGCAGATAATTGCTAAGTGCATCGCTAGCACAGTTGGTCGGAGCTGCTGAAAGGTCTGGTCGCAGAGGCAGGAACGCGTAATCCTCAGCGTGCTCCATCCCGGCAGCATCCTTCCAGGCTCGGCAGGGCAGCGAGCCTCTGGGCACCAGCCCCTGCTCCGCGGAAAAGGTACTCCTGCCTGCGTCCCTGTCCCCCGGGTGCTGCTCCTGCGCTGCCATGCTCAGTGCTCGCAGGGTAGCCTCTGTATTGGGAATGCAGAAAGAAAAGTTTAGGCGAGGAGATGTGGCAAAGGTGGGAAACCACCGCCTTTTGTCGGGGAGGAAGACAAGCTGACAATTTGGAAAACTTCTGTGCCGTCTGGAACTGGGTGTGTTTACTACTCTCAATTAGCTGCGCTCACGTCTGGGGAAATAGCTCTGGCGTTGGGCTAGGGCGCCTGCAGGGCTGGGTGTAGAGTAGACTCAGGTTAGTTGGGTGAAGGGAGTTGGACCTCGGGATGTAAGGCTTCCTGGTGGACCCATCCCTGGGAGGCTGGTTCGGAGAAACGTGATTGGTTGGCTGGGTTTTCCGCCAGGGGGTCAGCCCCCTTTCCATTACCTTCACCTGCCTTCTCTCAACTATGGTGACCTTCAACCTGAGTCCTGGAACTGCTGTCTCCTTCCTACCTCTTCCCCCTGGCCCGCTCTGTCTCCGTGGATTTTATTTGGGGGAAGGAGACACTTCCCGGGGTGTGGGTGTCCTGTTTGACCTGGTGGGTGTCTGTGTGTCACGCAACTTGGTGAGAAACCAATAAAGCAATTGTCAGAGGAAAGAAATTACTTAATTGATTAGCTCACGAAAACTCTGGAAGACTTTCCAGGCTCGGTGTGTATCGAAATGAAGGGGATAGAACTAAATTTCACCTGCGTTTCCACCCTCATGGGAGAAGGGCTATTCAGGGCTAAGCCTGCCAGCAGATCTGGGAGGTGGAGGCTCCTGGGGCTGGCTCCATTCAGGTGTGCAGGTACTGTGGTACCTTTGTGGCCCAGGAGTTGCTGGAGCCACCAACCACACTGCTTCTGAAGACTGCTCTTTGAGTAGCAAAGCTCATCATGGCAGCCGCTGGTGCAGCCTTGTGGCACCTAGTGCATTCTAATGGTGGGACCACCAGACCTCACTTGCGCTCAGACCCCCTTTTAGACCTGGGAAAACTCCGTCCCTGGAGCATCGGAGCTTCTGCCAATAGGAGGTTGTAGGTAGGTGGCTTCCTAGGAAGCCAGGGGGAGAAGGTGAGGTGCTTGGTCTTGAATGAACTTCCTATCTGAAAGCCCCAATCAGTTCCCCAGGTGTGTCCTCTGACCTGCTGGGGACCCTGAGGCTCCCAGTCTGGGGTCAGTCTTCCAGGTCCCTGAGGCTTTGGGGAATGCAGGTAAATTGTCTGACTCTGATTTCTCTCCTAGACCCGAAGCTGGGGAACTGGATCCCCAGTCCTGGCAGGAAGTGAACTTTCTGGGAGGGAGCCTCCAGCAACACCTTTTCCCTGTGACACCCTTCCCGCTGCAGGGGTGATGGCCTCCACTCTGGCGCCATGATTCACTTTCACTTTTTAATTCGTATTTTCTTTAACCTCTACAACAGGTTTTCCGCCACCTCCTTTAGGCAGCTATTTTGGGTGGGAGTTGTTATTGTCAAAGCTCTTCCCACAATGATTAAAAAAAAACAGCTGCCTTTTTTTTTTTTTTTTTTTTTTTTTTTTTTTTTTTTTTTCTGGGCAAGATACAGTCAGCTCTCTTTTCTGCACATGGTGCCTGACAGTCAACAAAACAAACTCGCAGTCCCACAAATTATAACGCCGTTGTGTTCAGTGGCCTGGAGTGGACGCTGGACCTTGATGGGCTGCCGGTGATAATTGGCCCCAATCCTCCTCCTCTGTGGTCTGTGGCGGGCAGGTGACTCCCAGAGAGCCCAGGAGAGGCAGCACCCGGCAGGTGGAAGATTTTGAAAGGGGCCACCTTGGTTTTCATGAAGACAGTGACAAAACTAGGAAATACTTTTGAGTTTGAGGGGTGTCTAGAAGAAGGAACAGGTAACAAAATTGGGGTCCCTTTCATTGAGGCTGATCTGCTTGGTTTCCTTCATGATAGAGTACATGAAAAGTAGGGTTTTTAAAGCAGCTTCTGAATGGTGACTCATGCAGAGAGAGGAAAAGGCAGGCTGGGGGCAGGGAGCAGAGGCACAAGTGGGACACACTGGAGCGCTTGCCTCGCCTCCCTCTCCTTCCCCCTCATTTCTCTTCCCTTTAGTTCCCCATTTGGATCAGAGATCATTAAAATAACAACTTCAGACTAAAAAAAGCATCATAGGAACTGGAGAATAATTGACAAAACGCAAAATACCATCATTGTAACTTCACCTTGGGTGTCAGGGCATGACACCTAGATCCAGCCCCTCTGCCATGATCCCATTTGGAGAATTTAATTGCTGGTGTGGGTGTTAGGCTGGCCAGTTGTTGTGAAGTAGGCACCTGCTTGTGTATGGAGAGCTTGGTTAGTGCTCAGGAAGTTAAATTTGTTAGTTGTTATTTCATCAAACATGGTCGCTTTAGCCAGGACCCTGGATAGGTGTCCTCCATTGATCTAGTATCTTCTCCCCCCAGTTGGCCAACTAGGATTTCTCTCGTTTAACCACTGTGCTGTGAAGGGGTCACTTCTTTCTGTTTTCTCAAGCCCTGGGTGACTTACCAGGCTAGTGAAAGTCCCTTCCTTACATTTCTGTTCCTCCATCCCGCCTCCTTCCTGTCATCCCCTTTCATCATAAACACATCAGTAAATAATCTCTTTGCCAACCTGCTTTGATCTTGTCATTTTGTGCTGATTTTGCTGTTAAAGAAAACTGTCCCCTGAAATAGGATTGGAAACATAGTAGATTTTTTTTTTTATCAGAATAAAGCCATTTAGATTTCTATTTTAAAATTTAATTTTGTGGTTTGGGAGAAATCAAATAAGCACGTTTACTGTGTTAGGTGTTTTTGTAAATGCTGTCGACATGCCTCCTTTTGCTTTGGTGAATGTGTGAACTCCCGGGTTATTCTGTGGAAGGGGGTGTCTGTCTGGAGGTTGGAAACCGCCTGGAGCACCCCTGAGAGGTGATGAGGCTGGAGCATGAGGTTTTGGTTTATGCAAGAGAGGGCTCTGAAATGTATTCACCACACTGCTATTTCCCCCCTTCATTCTTCACTTAGGAAAATCATTAGGAAATAGTTCCCCAGATTCACTTTTCCTTATACCTTTCTCCCTCCCCATTTGGGAGCTATTGAAGCAGGTACCTGAATAATCGTGTTTAATCACAAATACACGGTGTCCCCCAAAATGTCTATACACTTTGAATTATTAATTCCAATGAGTTAAATCTGAAAAGAAATAAACATCAATTGAACAACCAGCAGTTAAAGTCTGTATACATTTTGGGGGGACACCCTGGATATCTTCCTTTCTTCATTCCCTTCTGGCTCTTCCTTCCTGTCACTTAAGGGCACCCTAGTGGGTGAGATTCCATTTAGAGCCTGCTCACCTGACATCTGAAACGGTTAACCAGGGGACTCCGGAATTCTGGGAGGCACATTGGGCCGGCCCTGTGGGAGCAATGAGGTAATCCCTTCTCCACGTTCTTGGTTCTACGCAGACCTCACAGAGCACCTGGGGTGGTGCAGCTCCCTCCATGAGACATGAGACGGGTAGGGCAGGTGTTTCCAAGAACAGGCCTATAGGGTGCAAGGGATTCCCACAGGGCAAAGCCTTCCTGGCTCCTTTGTCCTGCCTACCCTCAGCCCCCATGCATAGGGCTGACCTTGAAAACGTTAGCAAGTCTGTCGTTTCCCCAGTTTGTCATTTCCCCAGTTTCTTTGTCCTTTATTCTCATCTCACCCCTAAATCTCTCTATCAAGAGTTGGAAAGAATCAAATCTACTTATTCATACTAAGGTGTCAACAGTTAGCAGTGCTGCCACTAGCAGAGGTATTTGGGTTCTTGATGGAAGTCAAAGCTGTTCATGGTGGAGTTTCACATCTGCTGGCGGATTGGAAAGACAGAGTTTGGATAGGGAGTGTCTGAGCAATTGTGGCCCTTTGCTTTTCAGTTTCGGCGAATCCAGCTCTTTCCCACGTCAAGGACACACTGCAGCCACGCAGGGCACTGTGATGGCAATATTTGGAGTCCAGCCCCTGGAGCATGGTCCCTCAGACTTGACCTTGGTGGCTGCACTTTCTTGCTCTGCCTTTCAGTTCCCACATGGAAAGCAAGGGGCTTGGACTAGTTGAGCCCTTTCTGCTTTGTCCGACCTTCTGCCTGGATTTTGTCACCCGAGTCCTATATCCTGCTGGGATGCTACAGCTTCAGAAGGACTTGGAGCTTGCTGAGCATCCTCCAAGGTGGGCCACAGAGCTAGATTCCATGAAGGCAGGTTGAAGGAATGGTGGATGTGAGACCGGGAGAAAAACAGGCTGAGGGGTGATGTAATAACTGATTTTGGTTTCGGAGGGGATGTTATATGGAGGATGGCGACCAGCTGTTCTCCATCTCCAGTAAGGATTGAACGAGTGAAAATAGACAGAAATTGCAGCAGATGGACTTAGATTAGGTATGAGGAAGAATTTTCCATCAGCAGGAGTTGTTAAAAAGGGAAGCTTGGGGAGTCTCTGTGATGATCTTTAGGAAATGGAGATTAAGCTGGAGGAGGCAGCAGAGGGCTGTGGGGAGGCCAGAGGCAGGGGCTGTCTAATCTAGGGATCCTCCACCCCTCCTGGCAAGGGTCCTTTTTAATTTCTCTGAAACCTCACCTTCGCTCTTGGGCTGTCAAAGTGGCTGAGCATCACAGTCCCTGGGACAAGTGGGGAAGGGGTACAGCCACCTGCACTGCCCTCCTGGGTGCTTCCCTGACCGGCAGGCCCTGCCTAGAGCTTGAGGATCTCTCCTCAGGTCTACTCTTTCATTTCCAGACGTGGCAACAGAGAGGTAACAGTCCTTGGCATCATCACACAGTTACCCGATGGCAGAGCTGGGACCAGAATCAAGGTCCTCCATCTCCCAAGTCAGTGTTATTTGTTTTGTAGCTCACTTTTTTTTCTTGTTTCCAAATGGAATAGACGGGTTGCTTTTTCTGGGCTCCTAATTTTTCTCTAACCAAATGGCAGA